AATTGCAATTAAGTGAAGGCAGGAGCCGGCCGCCGACAACGCCATCCAGAGTGAGGTTCGCCCGGTGATGGCGATAAGTCAGCCCTGGCCGGTGGAGGATGTTCGTGAGACGTTTTTCTCCTATTTCGTGGAAAATCAGCATGTGCAGTTGTCATCAACCCCGGTTATCCCCGTAGTTGATACCAAGGTGCCTCTTATTCATACATGTTTGAACCGGTTCAAGGGGACCCTTAATGGCAGAGGGAGTCATCGCACCTGCTTTTCGCTGAGATGCATTACTGTGGGTGGTGATGACGATGAAGTGATTGATCACTTCAAAAACGACACTACTTACCATAGATTCACAGAAGTCCTTGGAAGTTGGTCTTTTGGGGACTACTTTAAGGAGGAAGCCATCAGGTTATTATTCAGTCTTCTCAACAAGGTACAGTTTCTGCTCTCCTATTGTTTCCGTGTAGTCTTGTTTCATGAGTTGTGTTAATAGTGAAAAGCTTTGGGTATAGTTTATGAGGTAGCAATTGTAACAGATTTTGAACTTAGTGTTAGTGCCAGGGTCTACTTTATTTGATATGATGGAAGCCTGCTTAAAAGATGATATTTATATCTCTGCAATTTGAGGGAGCGGTGTTAACACATGCTTAAAAGTTCCTTTGTGTCTGTGTGTGCACGCGAGTTGTTCCTGTAAGCTACATGGAAAAAATAATGTCCAGAATTGTCTGATCTTCTATTTAAGGCCACCTTATTACCTATTGATTGCTCGTTCTTTAATATGCAGAAATACAAGTTACCTCAGTCCAGAATATATGCTTCATACTTTAGTGGTGATACGTCCCTTGGTTTGAGTTCAGACAATGAGTCAAAAAATACATTGCAGAAATACCTAGCGGAAGAAAGAATCATGCCTGCCATGTCTAAGGTACCTGTAATGTCTTATCAATTTTACTTTGAATTTTTGTGGACATTTATTGACTGAGTGCTTGAATAGGCTGATTTTTGGATGACTGGTGAAACTGGTCCCTGTGGGCCATGCATTGGATTTTTCTTCGATTGTTCGGATAGCAAAGATGGTGTTGGTTCCGTAATCAACATAAAGGATGGCAAATTTATTGAGATAAGCCGTCTTGTTTTTGTTGAGGTTGGCTTTCTATTCTTGTATTAAGATCTTTTGCATGCATAAATGAAGCTTCTTCTATTGCTACACAATCTCTGTGCTTATACTCACCTATATTTTCTTTCTTCATTTTTTAGTTCAATAGGCAAGCAGGTGGCGTCTTGAAGCCTTTGCAAGCTAAGCATGTCTTGAAGCCTTTGCAAGCTAAGCATGTCTTAACAGGGATTAATCTTGAAAGTTTAGCTGCCATTCTTCAAAATAAAGAAAGCCACTATGAATTAGATGTCTACGATGACATATTTTTCAGCATGAGCTGTGTAAGTTTTCCATGTCCACTTCAAGTTACCTTTTGTTGCAAACGATAACTGGCTGTGTAATATTATTGATTTCCATGGTCAATGACATGTAATAATGACTTATATGCATATATGTAGTGTACTGGTCGAGGAATCCGGGACTACTCTGGTGAAGTTGGTGCTGCTGACACAGATGGAGTTGATACGGCATACCGCCTCCTTGCAGATCACATAAGAATGATTGCTGTTACTAATGCTCCTGGTTCTCAGCTTGGTAAGTGCGTTATGTAATGTTAATAATTACAACATCAACGTATGGGTTGTATATATTTTTTGTCATGATCACATGGATAATACAATTATTGCTCATTTTTAAGGAATAATCAGACCAACATGATTGTGGGATGACGTATTACATCAATACTTTTTTTTGTCATTACATTGTTCCTATTGTGTTAAAATTGGTATGCACTTTATGAATACCAGGGTTTGGAAATGAAGGTCGCGAGTATTTCCTATATCGTGCCGATAAACAGGCTGTGCAATATGGCCACGAAGTACTTAAGACAAATCAAGAGAAATACGATGTGTAAGAACAATCACTTTCATTTGAATTTGTGCTTTATTTTACATGTATTTATAAAAAAAACACTTCTCCATGTTTATAACAGTCGTATTTTTGAATAATGTATTTTCACACAAAAGTCGTATATAAACACTTTTCCATGTTTATAACAGTTGTATTTTTGAATAATGTATTTTCACACAAAAGTCGTATAAAAACACTTTTCATTTGCTGCATGCTGTCATCTCATAGTGTGCAATTATAACTTCTACCTTTTGCTGTGCGCTTCTTTACTGCAAGTGAAAATAGCATTCAAGATGAAACCTGTAAGATATGCTTAGAATGTTGATTCTATGACTGGCTTTAGTTGAATGGGTATAAAGTAGTGTTTACTGTAGATCTCTGGATGACAAGATATAGTTTTTTTACTAGACCCACCTGTTTTTGCTTCTGTTAACATTGGCATTGTGTCTTTTATGTTCCGTCTTCTGCCTTTTCTTGTTAGTTCTTGCTAGCCTGCCATGCAACTTCTATTCCGAGTAGGTTAAGCATACTCACAGTGGGTATATAGAAAGAATATCTATGATTACTGCATGTGGGTCTGTAATCTAATGAATTTATCTTTCTTGAACAGTATTATTCATGGCATTCTTATATCTGAAGCTGATTTATGTCCTGAGCTTGAAGGGTACAGAAAAGTGGATGAAATAATCGAAGATGAATTGATGATCTATAAAAAAACCATGGCGGAGGTAATATTTGTTTCAAGATGATCCATTGAAGTTTTTACAGTTGAAATTCATTGAAGTGTTTTTAATAATTAAATGTTAAGGTCAGTGTGAAGAAGTCCGTGCATAATTTAAGGAAACACATGAAATAGGAACCCATCTAGGATACAATTTCACTCTTGGGCTATAGGATCATATTGACGTACCAGTGTTTCAAGTTTGTCTTTGAGCTGTATTCCCTTATTTGAAACTCAAGTCTGATGACATCTACTATAGGCATGAAGTATTGCCATCTTCCTTAGTTGTCTGTTGTTCTTTGATAAGGAAATTAGCATATGTTTTTGTGCCTCTTGGATATTGTGAATGTTCGTTGTTTCATTTGAATAATGTTTTGCCAACTATGCACTCTCCTTCCTAGTTACGAGAACAGCAAGTGCCATTTGATATGGGAGGGAAGAAGAAAAAGAAGAAAGGTGTCACTTCTGTTGTGTGGTATGCGACAAGGCTTATTGAATTTTTTGGCCGGCGCACACGCATTATTCTCAAGAATAAGAATACACGCTGCTCCTTAGTAGCACTATGTAAGTCAATGTGGCTGCTCCCTGGCAACTTCTTTTTTCAACGAGGATACACAATTTTTAGTGGCTTGGCCGGTTACCCAGAATTGGCGCTGTTTACTTACTTTTACATGCGCGTGTACAATCCAACAAGTTCAATAGATTAAATCTACATTGGAAATGCCTAGGACAGAGTTCATTCACTCCTCATTTTCTGTGCCACTGCAGGCAACGCTCTCCTGCTTGGAGAGAAGATAACTCTCAATATAGATATCGAGAAGGTGTCAGAGGGCCATCTCATCTATCTTGTACAAAGTTATCTTTTGTATGGCAATACACAAATGCAGGTATGCAACTGTATAGATGCAATTGTTAAGGAATGTTCATTAACTGAAAGCTAAGCTACTGTCCACTTATACTGCAGTTGGAACAGAACTTGGAACTATCAGAGTTCAATAAACAAGTTCTTGGTGTATTGCCGAAGCTTCCGGGCAGTTTATACTTTGATGTGACATTTGCCAGGTGATTGTGATACTGATTTAATTGCGTGTGTGTGCGATTGTCCTTCTCAGAGTATAATGTTTATGATGTCCATTTTTCAGCTCTTGTGGCTTTGAGCAGACCTCAGAAACCGCAATATTTGGTTTTCTTGGTGTCCCTCTACACCATGGCTGGTTGGTAGATCCCCAGGTACCCATTGTACATGGGTTTTTAAAATATTAGTTCCTTCAATGCATCAGCATTTTTGTAAGATTTTAAATCTTTATTGGGGTAATTCAAGGCTGATACTTTGGTATTTCATTAGGATGCTGAATTGGGCTCCTCAATACGTAAAAGTTCCTACTACCAACTTTCGTATATTCTTGCTGTGTACGAATCGATTCGATCCAGCACAAATTCAGGGCCTCAAAAGCATGGTGGATGTAAAGATGATGACAAGTTTGATTCGACACTTGTGTTCTCTTTAACCAGATCAGAAGAACTTGGTTCTATTTCTTGTAAATCTCGACAACACAAGTGTTCAATTTTTCTGGCACAAAACTATATTTGCAAGTTATTCTCCTGATACTTCTTTTCTTTGTTTCCTATTTGTAGGTGCAATGATCTCAACTTTTTTGCATGGCCCTCAGCTAACCTCGTATGGGTAAATGGAAGTTTGTGTATATTCAAGTGGTACCATTTTTTTTGTTTCTTTTATAACTCGGTTTATGTCACTGGGTGCAGATTTTCTTCCTTACATGATGACTTAAAAGCGAGACAGCCCACTGTCCTGATTTGGAATGAAACATTAATTACAATATCTAAGGTGAGCTGTTGATTTGTTCAGAGATAGTGACCCTTCCCTTATTAAAGTGAGTGAACCTTTCTTCCTAATATATTCCTTTTAGGTAGGAGACCAAATATATGTGTTGCTGAACGATTTGTCCTTGTTAAGTACTGAAACCGGTGCGGTATGGGAAAGGTTAACAGAGGTATGTTAGTTGATCTTTCTATGTTGCATGTGATTATAATGTGCTAACTGTTTTTTTTGCATGGTTAATTAGGATAGTGATGGATTGTTTGTTGATTGTAACTTCGTGCCAACAGATTCAGAGATTCAATCTATACTGGTAAGAGCAGAATGTTTCTTGCTCTATTTGATTTTTAGGCATGTTTTCCTAACTCAATGAAATCATGCATTTGATTTAGCCACTAACGAGAATGGAAAGAAGGAAGAGGAATAGAGAAGAGAAGAGGCCTCTGAAGGATCTCTTAGTACCTGAGGAGAAAGAGGTGGATAAGAGGGAAGACAGAGAGGGGGATACGAACGAGGACGAGAAAGATTATGAGAAGACAGAGACCGGGGAGAAATATGATGGGAATATCGTGGAGAAACCAGATATATCTGTAAGCGCAAAATTTCTAGAATGATTTCATGTATTGTTGGAAAATGCTGCCCCTCAAAACCTGTTTCTCGCAGGGCATTCGTGGCAACTTGAATATAAGGCCTATTGTTTTTTTGGGACGGCCAACCCATGTTATCCATCAGATAAATGATGGCCCGTGTGCCCTTATTGCAGTCTGTAAGTGAAATTGGCTTTACTTTCAATTTTTGTATTTCATTTCCTCATGTTTTGTATTTATTCTTTTTTTTGCACAGGTAATCTTCTACTGCTCCAGGGGAGCATCTTTTTTGAACCACATGAAACTGTGGTGTCAATGGAATATCTACTTAACTTTGTCTTTTCTTTACTTGAAGATTGTGCGAAAATGAAGGTTCGCAACTCTTGCAAACTCGATTTCGATTGCATTCATGGCCTGCAGCCTAAGGTTGTGGATTTTTTTTAATAGGCCCATTGTTCTGCAATACAAAGAAACATATGGGATGCGGCGCTGACACTGGCCACAGGGTTTGATGTGGACGTTGTCTTTACCAGGTAATTGTAGTTCTGGCTTTCCATATTGGTTCTGTCTCTTTCCTTTGTAGTTTGCGCTGGCTGCTGGTGTTCTGATATTTGCAATTTTGACATTGTAGAACGGATGGTTTTACGGAGACACGAGAGTGGTTCCTTCTCGATTGCTTAAATCTAAATCTTCGACATGGTTGGATTGCTGCTGGGGTAAGCAAGTTTATCATGAGCACTGATTAGGTTGTTAGTGCAGATTTTCTAATTCAGTGCGCAATCATTTTATATGAAGTGGCCAGCTCATATCATGATACTACTTATTAGGATTTGTTGCGCGGACCAGAAACATCATTTGAAAGTCTTACGCTGGCGGCTAATGAACCTGGTTTTCCAAATGGTTAGTTTTATTTTTCAGCTACACATTGTTTGCACAACCTTTTTCATCGCTCTTATTGCTTTTGTTCAATGTTTTTAGCGGAGGCGATCAAGAAGTTTCTAACGGGACCTCAACTTACTCCCATTGGGTAAAATATCTAATTTTCCTTTTTCTATTAGCAGTCTTTTTTGGTGGGAAACAATTTATTATTTGCCACTGGTTAATATTCTAAATAACCATGTGCCAATGCTACAGCTTGCTTTCCTTACAAGAAGAGCTTACTGAAAATGTTCCATGCATTCTGTACTGGAACAAACATTACAATACTACAGTTAAGGTGAAAATGTTTGCTGTATTTTATTACTTTCGGAGCTATGTTTAGCTGCCTTGTATTTTTCTTTTTTGACCTGTTTTGATCTTATGCAGGTCAATGGAAAATTATGTTCTTTAGTCACTGATTCAAATTATTTAAGAACAAGTGCAGTTTGGCAGACGCTTGAGGTATGCTATCTGTATTTTTCATAATTTCTTTGTGTGATTGAAATGAACTTGTGACCATTCTTTGCTGTGGATTGTTAGGTCCGCGGTAACGGATCATATTTGGACAGCAACTTCACACCAATTTATGCGCAGCTTGATGCAGCTCCTTCGGTATGTATAACGTGGACCAAAAAGATGAATATGTTGGCGAAATCAAATATATACCTGCAATGCTTTGTTATCATCGTGTAATCTTTTCCTTTGTCCATTTCTATTTCTATCTGTGATATATGTATGCTGTAGACATAGTCAAATGCAATTTACTCTTCCCATATACATGAAATTTTATCTTCCCTGCAAGTCATGTTGCCTTTGTTCTTGTTTGAAAATTCATTTTGCATTGAAGAATTTTAGCGATATTACAATTGATGTTAACAATAAGCAATGCACCTTTTCTTGTTCATTGATTAAATTGTGTGATCTCTCTTCAGTTTCTTCCTGAAACAAGTACCTCCCAAGCATCTACCTCATTCATGAAGCAAGATTTGGAAGGGATTACATCACGTGGTGACGGATTATATTTGGATCGTAGCTTTACACATTCGGGACCCAATGCAGCTCTTTTGGTATGCATAACATTGACCATAAAATGAACCATTTGATGCTTTGTTACAATTTTGGTTGGTGAAATCAAATATATCCGTAATTGCAATGACTTTGTGTCTCATTTTTTACTATGTTACCGTCACATTTGATTTTTATAACAGATCTTCCTTTTTCCATTTCTATTTCTACCGGTGATATCTGTATGCTGTATACATACTATTACCATATACATGAAATCTTATCTTTCTTCCAAGTCATGTCGCGTTTGTTGTTTGAAAGTGCATTTACATTGAAGAAAATTAGTGTACAATCGGTTGTGCCAATAAGCAATGCATTTTGTCCTCATTGTTGTATAATGCGAAGGCTGGATTGTGTTTCTTTTTCAGGGAGATGATCTTCATGGCTCTCATTTTGTTCAGAAAATACGGACTCGAAGATCTCTGCCCAGTCCTCGAATTGTTCCTGAATCATCGGAAGTACCACTTAGTGATTTTGTTCGGATACCTGGTAATGAGTTCTCTGAATTAAGAACTCTATTTGCTGATGGTACTTCATTGGATGTTGCTGATACGAGAAAGATTGGAAGAGTTCTCGGACTTGATTTACTTGAAGATATTGTTTTTAATCATAATGCGGGGTTCAGTTGGAATGGGAAGTTTGACCCGACGACTATAATGGTCATTGATGGAGTCCGTGCGGAAATTCGCGCACCGTATTGTGACAAGTTCTGTGAAGAGGCGAAATTAAATGACTTCTTCAGTTACATTACTGGGGTTATTGAGCTATTTAGAATAGAAGGGATTGGTCTGCCAGCCTTTTTTGCCAAGTTGACCCAGACGCTGTCAAACCCTCCTCGCAGACCTCAAGTGTGTACCCAACGTCAACTGGAGGGCTTCAAACGTCGACTTCATGGCTATTGGGATATTGTATTGACTACCCTGGCGCTGAGGTCCTCATTGGCTAGAGCAGGATTATATTCTGGAATTCATAGAATACACCGCTTCGCGCCAGAGGCAGTTAATCATGCGCTGAGAGCTGTATTGCGAAGTCGTTTTTTACCAAAAGATTGGAGACAACCAATTGTTGCAGAAACAGGTCATCCAGTCCTCAAAAAGGTTTTACGGTATATCCCTGATACGTTAGATGGAAGCAATGAGAATGCCAGGGCGAATGAAGGTTGGCGTAGGAAGTTTGGGTGGTATAAACCCAGGTTGCTTGATAGCTTGTGTATTTTTCCAAGACAAGTAAACGAACATGCAAAGTCTAAGGTGAATATTTTCTTTTCCTGTTTTCTGTTTGTTTCACTGATTTTCATACCAGAATTATTTCTGTGAAGGAGGAGCTAGAACTGGAAAAGCAACAAGGAGTGGAGAATGAACCTATGAACAGTCTTTCCGAATTGGATCTTCTGACGTCTCATTATCTCCAAGACGATCTTCCAATTATATTGGAAGTATTGCTACGCTCTGATCATCTTATGACAGATGAATTGTGGAAATGGTAAGGGCCAATAATTTTTTATGGAACTCTCTTAGCTTTTAGTTTAGTCTTAAGTTAGGATTAATCAGCCTCTTCACTTCTGCTTGCTGCAGCTGCTTGGCCCAGTCGCGCGTCTGCTGGTCTAAGCAGCTGCAGCTCCATGTCCTTCAATTTTTGTTGACAGCTCAACTGCTTTTCGGGCGAGTTTGCTTTGAATCCTGAGAAAGCTGCCTGCGCCAGGCAGCATCATCTGGCATCTGATTATGCTTGCTTGATACTGCCTGGTAGAGGCAGGTTTCCAAGGCATCAACCAAACAAGCCATGGCTGATGCTGGCTGCTGCAGCTGCAGCACAAGCTACAGCCAGCATGTTTAAGGAACTTCCAATAAATCTTACTTTTTATATAAAATCTGGATTGCAGGTTGGAAGAGGTCCTGGAGGTTTACTCCCGACCAGAAGTCCTTGGTCGTGGAACCTGGGGCCTCCGCCGCTGTGTTTTTGGTGGAGGCTGGAACCTGGGCCGCCGTGCCTATTGCCGCCGTGGTCGTGCCCATGGTTTCGGACACCGTGGTCACGGTCGTGCCCGTGGTTTCGGACACCGTGGTCACGGTCGTGCCCGTGGTTTCGGACACCGGTGACTATCAGAGCGAAGGCGCCGTCCGCGGAGATGAGGGGATCTGCGGCGATGGTGCCCAGATCCACGGCAGCGGCGTCAACTGTGATGAGAAGCGCATCTGCGGCGATGGCGACCATGGCAAGCGCACCAGTTCCTCGATTCTCAGCAGTTACCTTCCTCTCCTAATCCCCGTCTTCAGGAAACAGGAGCCAATCAATTTTGTTGCATTGTAGACCAATACTGTTGTTTGTAAATAATTTGAACTTGCTAATATTGTGAACACTGCAGTTAAGTTCCTTGGGCCGCTAGATTACTTATTTGTCACTGCAAGTAGAAAGTTGAAGTGCTAAAGCTGATGATGGGTTTCGGCTGAGTAAGTAGTATACTCTGATTTAGTTGCGATAGGCTTTGTTCTTGCCATCATTTGATATGGAATAGTTGTGTTATGACCAGAGATTGCATCTGTTACCCTCTTCTTTGGACGTCTTTCCAAGCCAATAAAAAACTGGTGCATAGGCAGACGACCTACATGGTTGGTTTGCCAGCCCATTGCGTTTTCATTGTTGCCCTGGTGTCAAATGGTCCACCAATACTCCATTCAAATGAATAAGCTGTCCTCGGTCTTCTGTGTTTATAAATGTTGTTGGTATAAAATTAGCATAATTAGAAAGTGTTTTTAAATACGAATATAATGATACTGATAATGTAAAATATAATCAGATTTTGTTCAAATTATTTTTTGGGGTTATTTCAAATATTTGCCGCGAGTAAGCATGGCGTCGAGGATCGCATAGAGGAGGAGCAGGCCTGAGGAGATGGCGAGGCGCGACACGCACGGGACGCCGGCACATGAGCCCTCGAGCTCGGCCTCGGCAATGATCCATAGCGACGTTGGCGGGGATCGAGAGGAAGGAAGACGCGCAATTACTACTTCCTCGTCGTCCGCTGCTGGCTCCGTGGTGGAGGCCTCACCAGGTCAGGCTGCTCCACCGCGCGCGCTGCGACGACCAGGTGGAGCGCGTCTCCGCGGTCTTCTTCACCGACCATTGAGGCCACCGAGCTCCTGGGCCGGACGTCGTCGTCCTCCCGCTCGCACGCAGCAACCACGACGATGGTCCTGCCGCGACCTGCAGCTCAGCGACTAGGCAGCTCCTGCAGGTTCAGGCGTCCGGGCGTGATTTTTTTCTTGAAAGTTATTTTCAGGCCTTCTGGGCCCGGCCCGGCCCGCAGAGAGTACTAATCGCACACGTGACGTACTGACGCGGCCGTGGCTACAAAATCGCCAACCCAAAGGTGAACCCTAGGTCCGTCCCTAGCCCCAAATTTCGTTCCCAAATCGCGCCGCCTGCTGCCATCCCATCCCATCCCCTCGCCTCTGCTTGGACCTCCTCCGCTTCCTCGCCCTTCTTGACGGACGGACATGGCAGTTTCCTCATGGGTTCCACCTTCTCTTCCCGAGTCCAGCGCCGCCGCCTCAGGCTCAGGCGAGTCAGGCCTGGTCCTCCTCGACATGTGGTGCTACATCGCCGACCTTCCCAACAACACCACCGCCGAGGGCACCACCAGCACCGGCTTGCCTATCAAGGTGACACTCCGCGCCGCCCGCCCGCCACATCTCTCCCACTTTTGTGTCCACTGCCCTGGCCTCGACTTCCGCATAACAGGGCCCAAGATTGTCGCCACCGACGCACATCTCGTCCTCCTCTGCGTTCCCATCCACCCCAACAGCGCCACCGGAGCATTGGACTGGGACTACTTCGTCTACAGCCCGCGCGCCCAGCGGCTAGATCTGCTACCCAACCCGGACCCCATATGCCTCAACGACTCCGCAACTGCCCTCATTAGCCGCCAAGACGGCGCTTGGTATGCCGTCGCTGCTCTCGGTTACGCTAACCCCCTGTACGATGGCGGCGCGCTCATTAGGTGGGAGTTCTGCCTCCACCTCTACAGATCCTCATCAAATTCTAAAGCTTGGATCTCCAAGCGCTTGTCACTGAATAAGTTCAAGAGGGACAAGCTCATCCCTTTACCCGCAGCAGTCGAGAGGCTGTACCACGAGACGGAAAAGACCATCACAATTGGTGGCGAGCATGGCACGGTCGCCTGGGTGGACCTCTGGCGTGGCATCTTCTTTTGCGACGTGCTCAAGAAACGCCCACTGCTCCGGGATGTTCCACTGCCGGTGCCGGCAAGGTCTAACTGGGATCGCCTCCTCATAAATGATGACCCCGGCTATTTCCGGGACGTAACTATCAGCCGAAACAAAGACTCGATCAAGTATGTTGAGTTGGAATTCCGGTCAATAGAAGTGCTCAACCCCGCCACCACCCCTGTTTCCTACACCAACTGGGTGGCGGTGAAGAATTCCTCAAGGAAATCTCTTCATGTCATCCGCGATGGCTGGAAGTCCACAACATGGAGCATGGCAATACCCGTTGGTTTGCAGGAGCGCTGGAACCGTGACTGTGTATTTGATGTTAAAGACATCAGCTTGGAGCCATGCCTTTCTGATCGCATGGCTATGCTGAGCAGCAAGACCATGAAGGAACTTCAAGTGGGACACCCCATCCTAAGCATGGATGATGACATCGTTTACTTGCTTTCTGAAACCACACCCAAGCACATGGACAAGTTGGCACTGATGTTTGCTATTGATGTGAAGAAGTCAACACTGCGAGGATTGGCTGAGCTTGATGTCAAGAAGTTCGATTACCTGTCCAGCTTCTGCACTAGTGAGATCTGCAGGGGTACCTGAGCAATATTAAGGTAACTTCTTTATGCTGGTAAGTTCCTTTTATGTTTTTATGTGTGACTATATGTATGAATGCCATGCTTGCCATGAAAACTAGTGAATCATCGTGTTGGTACCATTCTGGTTTCAGTAGGATCTAGAGCTTAGCAAGTTAGTGCATCTTATTCAGGAGCTATGGCTTGATGACAGTGTGATTCAATGTAGGGTTATTGACATGACTGGTTCTGTACAGCATCGATGCTGTATATCAGTTGTTAAACAAATCCTGGCAATCCAATAAAACTAAGTTTGTGTTAAGCTGAATTTTGGTTGTTTGTGCGCGAACCTTCCTGTGAAATGTTAGCAAAACTGTTATGGAAGTAGACAAGGCCACAACTCAGTTTTCTTTAACTGTGGTGGAATTCTGTCAAATCAATATACTAAAAAGCTTATATTGAAAACAAAAGACAAATATTAAGATTATGCTTATTTTGCTTGAGTCGTCCATACAATACTTATTTTTTGTCATTAATTTTGAATCTACTTTGAAATATACTAATATGCCTTAAAACATGATAATTATTTGCTGATACCATCATTGGCATGTTAATACCCTGCATCTCACGAGCCTGGCTCGGGAGAAACGGATTTCAATCTCGTTACCTAGGAGCCAGGCTCGCTGGCTACTTTGCATGGCACGGGACAGGTTTAGACCTTCCCCCAGGCAACCAAACGCCCAAAACCCGCAGAGCCTGGCCGGGGCATCTGCAGGGAACCAAATGTGTTCTTATTGGACATGGACATGGTGTTGAGTTGCGTTTTATGACAGAAACTAAGTTCCTCTGGGTTTTCACTTCAAGAATAATATATTTGACCAAAACTAACACGCATAATTTATCTTGCTTATATGTTTCTTTCTATTTTTTGTGCTAGTTACTGATAAACATGAGACTTGTTCTTGTTGGATAAAAATAATAATTCTTGCTGTAGAGAATTTTTTTCTCATTCAAAACATGAGCTATTCTATTTGATGCAGGTAGAAGCGAGCTCTATCGAATAAACAAACTGAAGAGGGTAAACCATCTGAGGTTCCTGCGAAGAACTGGCTAGGACAAAGAAATTTCAACCATGTTTGTTGAAACTTGGGAGCTGGATGTGACCTTGGAGATTGAATTTCTTTAGTTGATTTATCATGTATTACATGTAATGCAACTATCTGGGTTATATTGCTTGCTTATGTACTTGTCCCGGTCAAAAAAAAGTGCTAGTGAACTTGTGTGGGCTAAATGTCTTGGTTGAACCATGTTTTTATGTGTTTTGATTTGGTTTTAATTGTTCTGTATGCACATTTTCTCCATTGTTCCTGGCATGCCTCGTAATGTCTATCTCTAATGATTTAAATGCCCTCAATTTACATTTATCTGTTGATGATGCAGTTCAAAACAAAAGCTGTTAAAATATATATGACGCTGCTGATCATAGCATGCACTGTGGTGTTGGTTAAGCTCTTCAGCATCCCCCCCTCAGTCTCTGATACATCATTTTAGGTCCGTTTGCCTATAAATAACCTGGGTTCGTCAGCCAAAGATGAGATGATGTTTACTGGCTTGAACTGTGCAAGGGCTAGGTGATGTGGTTGTAGCTTTCGTAACTTGTGAGAATCGCATCAGTGTATCTACAGTTCAGACCTCGATCCTAGGATTTATTTCTGACTAGGTGATGGCCCATGCGATGCTACACAATTTTTTTTTAAAATAATTATTCTAAAAGTACCGCAAGAAACTAATATAAATATTTTCAGTAACTAAATACATGGCAAAGTTGATGGAAATAAATGGTACTTAATTCTAGTAATAGCTTTTAAGAATTCATGTCTAGCTAGAGAATGCTTTAGCAATTCATATTTTTCTATTTGTGATACTAATGTAAAAATATCTCGCCACTGATGATCTGCTACCGCACGGTCCAACCGCACAAGTACATTATTATTTCCAGCTCGCTGATTGTACACCCACACATCTGCAAGCAGTCCTGAAAGGCTGCCATTGGGGGCTCAGGTCGTCTACAAGCTGAGAAATGCTCATAGGGCTAGAGTGCTTGATTGAAACTAGATGACCCGTTGCGCCAATGGCGCAAAGGGGAGAGGGAACCAAGCATTCAAGCCGTTTAACTAAGAGTATTTAAAAACCGATCATAAAATTGTTGGAGCGTAAGAAAAGAAAATATATACTTAGTTATGATGTTCACACATATGCTATATATTACATTGCATTGTAGGTCCATAGGAAGTACTAACTTATAAATGTTCCTATGACTATGAGATTATGCAACTCCCGTTTACCGGAGAAACACTTTGTGTGCTACCAAACATCACTACGTAACTGGGTGATTATAAAGGAGCTCTACAGGTGTCTCTGAAGGTACATGTTGAGTTGGCGTATTTTGAGATTAGGATTTGTCACTCCGATTGTCGGAGAGGTATCTCTGGGCCCACTCGGTAATGCACATCACTATAAGCCTTGCAAGCAATGTGACTAATGAGTTAGTTGCGGGATGATGCATTACGGAACGAGTAAAGAGACTTGCCGGTAACGAGATTGAACTAGGTATTGGATACCGACGATCGAATCTCGGGCAAGTAACATACCGATGACAAAGGGAACAACGTATGTTGTTATGCGGTTTGACCGATAAAGATCTTCGTAGAATATGTAGGAGCCAATATGAGCATCCAGGTCCCGCTACTGGTTATTGACCAGGAACAGTTCTAGGTCATGTCTACATAGTTCTCGAACCCGTAGGGTCCGCACGCTTAACGTTACGATGACAGTTTTATTATGAGTTTATAAGTTTTGATGTACCGAAGGTTCTTCGGAGTCCCGAATATGATCACGGACATGACGAGGAGTCTCGAAATGGTCGAGACATAACGATTGATATATTGGATGACTATATTCGAACACCGGAAGTGTTCCGGGTGATTTCAGAGAAAACCGGAGTGCTGGAGGGGTTACCGGAACCCCCCGGGGAAGTATTGGGCCTTAGTGGGCCTGAGGGGAGAGAGAGGGCAGCAGCCCAGGAGGTGGCGCGCCCCCCCCATGGGGAGTCCGAATTGGACTAGGGGAGGGGGGCGCGACCCCTCTTTCCCTCTCCCTCTCCCTCTCTTTCCTTCCTCCTTCCTCCTTCCTAGTGGGACTAGGAAAGGGGAGTCCTACTCCCACTAGGAGGAGGACTCCCCCCTCCTTGGCGCGCCTCCTAGGGCCGGCCGGCCTCCCCCCTTGCTCCTTTATATACGGGGGCAGGGAGGCACCCCAAGACACACAAGTTGATCTTCGTGATCGTTCCTTAGCCGTGTGCGGTGCCCCCCTCCACCATATTCCACCTCGGTCGTATCATTGCGGTGCTTAGGCGAAGCCCTGCGTCGGTAGAACATCATCATCGTCACCACGCCGTCGTGCTGACGGAACTCATCCCCGACACCCTGCTGGATCGGAGTCCAGGGATCGTCATCGAGCTGAACGTGTGCTGAACTCGGGGGCAGGGGGGCACCCTAGAGACACACAAGTTCATCTACGGATCGTTCCTTAGCCGTGTGCGGTGCCCCCCTCCACCATATTCCACCTCGGTTATATCGTCGCGGAGTTTAGGCGAAGCCCTGCGCCGGTAGAACATCATCATCGTCACCACGCCGTCGTGCTGACGGAACTCATCCCCGACGCTTTGCTGGATCGGAGCCCGGGGATCATCATCGAGCTGAACGTGTGCTGAACTCGGAGGTGCCGTACGTTCGGTACTTGGATCGGTCGAATCGTGAAGACATACGACTACATCAACCACGTTGTCATAACGCTTCCGCTTACGGTCTACGAGGGTACATGGACAATACTCTCCCCTCTCGTTGCTATGCCATCACCATGATCTTGCGTGTGCGTAGGAATTTTTTTAAAATTACTACGTTCCCCAACAGTACGTTCGGTGCTTGGATCGGTCGGATCGTGAAGATGTACGACTACATCAACCGCATTGTCATAACGCTTCCGTTTACGGTCTACAAAGGTACATGGACAACACTCTCCCCTCTCATTGCTATGCATCACCATGATCTTGCGTGTGCGTAGGATTTTTTTTTAAATTACTACGTTCCCCAACAGTGGTATCAGAGCCTAGATTTATGCGTAAATGTTATATACACGAGTAGAACACAAGTGAGTTGTGGGCGATACAAGTCATACTGCTTACCAGCATGTCATACTTTGGTTCAGCGGTATTGTTGGATGAAGCGGCCCGGACCGACATTACGCGTACGCTTACGCGAGACTGGTTTTACCGCCGTGCTTTGCACACAGGTGAGTAGCAGGTGTCAGTTTCTCCAACTTTAGTTGAACCGAGTGTGGCTACGCCCGGTCCTTGCGAAGGTTAAAACAACACTAACTTGACGAACTATCATTGTGGTTTTTGATGCGTAGGTAAGAACGGTTCTTGCTCAGCTTGTAGCAGCCACGTAAAACTTGCAACAACAAAGTAGAGGACGTCTAACTTGTTTTTGCAGGGGTTGTTGTGATGTGATATGGTCAAGACGTGATGATATATAAATTGTTGTATGAGATGATCATGTTGTAAATCAATAGCTCGCGTTGTTGCTTTCATATGTTTATTTTGATATGTTCCTAGAGAAAATTGTGTTGAAAGATGTTAGTAGCAATGATGCGGATTGGATCCGTGATCTGAGGTTTATCCTCATTGCCGCACAGAAGAATTATGTCCTTAATGCACCGCTAGGTGACAGACCTATTGCAGGAGCAGATATGATGACTACTTGATAGTTTAGTGCACCATGCTTAACGTCTTAGAATCGTGACTTCAAAGACGTTTTGAACGTCATGGACCATATGAGATGTTCCAGGAATTGAAGTTAATATTTCAAGCAAATACCCGAGTTGAGAGATATGAAGTCTCCAACAAGTTCTATAGCTAAAAGATGGAGGAGAATCGCTCAACTAGTGAGCATGTGCTCACATTGTCTG